CTAGACATATTTTGTCAACTTCTTCCAACATTGCCCTTACATGGAAAATTGTAATTATATTTAAAGTAGAAGTGTATTAGAACTAAATGATATTGGAAATAGAATTATATTGAGAATAAATGGGGATCATTTAGTATTTTAATCAAATATTTATTGTGTTCTTAAACTTTGTGAAACTCCTCCAGCGACATATATTTTGGAATGGAGGGAATATGTGTTTAGTACTTATATCATGTGTAATATCTTTGATTGTGTACCATCTTACTATACACTCTTATTATTTTTCCCTTTTATTGTCCATTAGAGGTGGAATAAAAGGCCAAAAAAATGGTGACCGAGAACGATAGCAAGGGCCGGGGTCAGACAAGCGAGGAGAACTATAACCCTAAATCAACAAAACCTTATCATTGCTATTTACTAAAAGAACCGATTTATAAGAAATTTTTAAAAGTTTACTTTGGTCCTATTAAAAGCATTTGATGTCTTTAAAGGTCTCTTTTACATTGTATTTTTTACTCTACTCCAACTTAAATTGGTTAAATTTTAATTTGATAGAATCCTAGAAATGCGTGGCATTTTTACATTGCTAATATAGGTTTTTCACCCAAAAAATAACTGACTTAACCATTTTCCTTAATTATTAAAAAATAATTATATATACTTTATATTAGGGACTTCGAAATAAACTGAACTTGTGTGTTTCTGTTGATAAATATACCTAGTTTTTAAATTCTAACTATTTAATTATTTTCATGTATTAATTTCTACGGACTATATTCAATCTTCATCTCAAAATGATTATCGTGTTTATTACATGAAATAGTTTGATTCCAAAATTAGAGTAACCCTAATACAAACTACAAGAAATTAAAAACACTAAGGCTCATCTACGTATACGTCGCACGTTGCCATCAAACGCAGAGAACAGTTATGGACACCGAATATACTGAAGCAACTTGATTGCACTTGGGTAGTATCACTTGAAGTTTGTCATGGAAAATCTCACTGAATTCGATTTCCGGAGTTCACGTATATCTTTTTCTTAAAACCTCCGACTCCTCGTACATAAACTCAACAAATAATTGTATCGAGGACAAATAAATTATTCTGGTAGCTGTATGCTAGGGGTTCAGATTTTGAGAATGGATAAGAGAAGAGAAAACGTAAGGTTGAAGTTACCAGAGTAACACAGATAACCTGAGATATGCAACTTTAAGAAAAATACCACGCAACCAGGGTTATACGAGTACTGTTCAACTATAAGCTTTTTGTTTGGATCTGGATGAATATATAAAACTATGGTTACAAATTACAATACGATATTGTCAAATTCTTTCACTAAATGTCATGTAAGAATTTTATTTATTTTTTTTATTTAGACATTTGCCTCTTCTGTCGTGCCTAGCTAAAATATAACAAAGATCGAATTTTTAAAGTCATAAGAAACCTTATGTGCAATGCCAAATGAGCTTAAGGACTTCTATACTTTAGATATTAGCGGCATTTTATTTATGATTTCGAGTAATGTAATACACAGGGAATAATGTACGAGGAAAGTGAGAAAGAATGATGTTTATTCATCTAACTTTTATATGTTGTATTAAGGATTTATCCATGTAAAATTAGAGATAATTTATATTTTAACCATTTTTGTAAACCTTTTTTTTACTAATTTTTCTTGCTTCACTATTATTTATTTATTTAGTGGTCTCAGCAAGACCTTTTATACGTTTTGTGGATTAGTACTTATGACCATAACAAAAATTTGCTTGCATTAGAGTTAGTTTTTCCCATCTTCAACAAAAATATGGTGAAAAATTATTTCTCTGCCCTCTTTATTTCTTTTTTTTTTTAAATAAAAGGGTACCATTTTATTTTATGCGTGGTGCAAAACAAAATTAGTGCATCATAAAACATAACTAATTGTGGGATGGAAAAAAAAATCACGTTTGTCGTAATTGTGAATTAAATATAATAATTTTTGTGAAAGTACGCACAAATTAAGATAAAAAGAGATACTTATGAAACACTGAATTCAAACTAAATAAGATCATTTGTAAGACAAAAATAAATGTATAGTGCTTAGCTTATGGGTTGGAATTGCAAAAAATAGTTTCACAAGTTACTTTAGTTTTTCCACGTTGAGATCCACACAAAAATTAGCGTGACCTTTAACAAACCGTCAAAATAGCTTTACAAATTTACTTTCTTTTTTTTTTTCTTTCTTTTCCTTTTTACTTTTGGTGGGTGATTACTAACAGACCTGTACTGGTTAGAACTGGATCAGTTAGCTACGGTTTTGGAGTTTTGGATGTTGATCATAACGTTGGCTCATCACGAAAAAAATAGAATAAATTATGGGTATACATATCGTGATAATGTTGGCATTTATGAGGCAAATAAAGCAAAAAACAAAGAAGTTTGTTTGGAAAATCATACATAAAGAAGAAGTATGTAGAAAAAGCTACGTCTGAAAGCGGAAAAGAAGGGTGCGTGTGGCTTTGAATTATAATATATGATGAATTATGATGGTATTGTGTAAAGGAAAAGGCCAAAAGTTAATATGCAGCAATTAAAATGGCCTTTGGCCACCCCAATTTAATAGTTGTGATAATATTGCATGCATGAACTCAAAAAGAAACTCAATGGTAAAAAAAATTGGATCAAACTGGGGGAAGTTTTATCTGAACTTTGTTGTTTGTCAGGTGATTCCGTGTTTCAAAGTTCAACGTATTTTCTTCAAAATCAGCGGCTCCTACGTTACTTTGTTCCTCCACCCAGGAGAGATCTTTATGAAATTAATTATAGTACTCCATCGATCCAAGGAAGATTCCTTTTTCTTTCCTTTTTTTTTTATAGTTCAATAATCACAATTTTGTTACAAACAAAATGGTTCATTTCGATCTGATACATTTCCCGGTATTACGTAATTTAAAAGAAGAAATTCTTAAATAATAAAAAAATTGTACTTTCGAATTTTATAATATTCGCATATAATACTTTACATGGTAATTGTTTTTCAAAGTTAGTCTTTCCGACTGATGAGAATATGATCGATATTTACAACGATTTATCATCATCACACATTCGACCTCTCCCCCCTCCCCCCCCTTCTCACCGCCAGTTTCGCCACCGCCATATTTTAAAAACCGGACCAAAAAGCGAACCGGCAACTTAAGTGGTTCACTGGTTTATCGGTTCAACCGGTTTAAATCAGTTTTTAAAACCGGTACAAACCGGTTATAAAAATTATTAAAAAAATAATTAATTTTTAAAATTTCGGTTTAATCGGCACCGGTTCCCGATCAAACTGCAATTTTGTCCGGGTTTGACCGAGTTTGACCAGTTTTTAAGTCTACCGGTTATTAATTTAAATTGGACCGAAAAGGTCTCCGATTTCCAGTCGAACCGGTTCGACACCCCGATCCGGTTTGATTCTCAAAACTCAGCCGTCATCGACAGTAACACCGATGCTGGCAATGGCGATGGACTGTGGTGGTAAGGATGGTTGCGATCAATGTCAAGTGGAAATGGAAGCTAGTGATAATAGTGGAGGTAGTATCATTGACTTATGGTGTTGGTGGTGATGAGGCTAATTTGGTGAACAAATAGAATTAAAATTGCTGCTTATTGGTCCTCAAAATTTAAATACTTGGACTACATGTGTATGGGGAATTTTTACCGATTAAATGAAAAGAAGAGAAGACACAATCCACACTCCACAGTATCAATTACTCCCTCCCTCCGTCCCATAATTATTGTCAACTTTGCCCAAAAAATTTTGTCTCAAAATTATTGTCCAATTTGACTTTTTATGGATCAAGTTACACATTTGTCCTTAGTAAAAAACATTATCCATAAAATCTTATTGGTGAAACAATTACTTATGTAAGGGTATATCCGGTTGTTTAAGATAAAATATAGATAAGTTTGACCAAAAATAAAATCTTTCATTTTAGTAAAACTGGACAATAATTATGGGACGGAGGGAGTACTTATTATTTATATTGGCTAGTAGTAAAAACCATTTTTATAGGACTCTAAACAAATTAATACAAAGCTGGAGGTTTAGTACGCTGTTTCGGTTCTATTCTATTGTTCTAATTTTTATTTAACACTTGTCCAATTTGATTCTAATAAAAAAAGAAAAAAAGAAAGACCCCTCGAATAAGTTTTGCTTATTAATTTATATATCAACAGCTGGATTAGACCAGATCATTGGAAATAGGTGTACTAACAATTACCTTTAACCTTTTACACTCCGAAGGTCAACATACTGATTTCCTCGTACAAAATGACATGCTCACACTAGTAACAACAAATTTATTCAGTAAAATGATTCAATATCTAATGTAACAAGTATATTAGAAAATTTGTAATATACTCAATTCAAGGTATATTAGAAAAAAAAAAAGAATAGGACGCTATAAACGTTTACAAATCGTAATATACTTAAAAGTGAAATAATATAATAAATCGAACTGTTATTTTGGAACAACGCAAGTATATGTATATATATATATATATATGTATATATATGAGGAATTGAAGGAACCATCATTATCAGCTCTCAAAACCCAAGTTGGCAACACACAAACACAAAAAGACCAAAACAACGCTGACCTCAAACAAAAACAGCTGCCCCGCCTCAGCAATATTCAATCGTTATTCCGCTCACTATAAAATGTCTCCGTATATATACTGAGTATATACTACTCTCTAGGAATATTTCACATTTTATATATTCTTTGAAGTTCACATAAAATGACATCATTATTTTTTATTATTACTACCAAGTATTGGTTTACTAAAATGAGATTTGTTTATTATTACTACCAAGTATTCGTTTACTAAAATGAGATTCATGATTACTGTACTAATAAAAACCATGCAAAACTGAGAGAAAAAGCCATCAAATCCATGCAATATGTTTTGCTAGGAAAAAAACAAAAACAAAAACAAAACTGTGCATATACACCAATTTTCTTTTTTTTTTTTTTGTGATGGAAAATATTTTCATAACGTAATTGGCTAAGCTAGCCAACATGGGGCCAAATTCACCCTGTTCTAAATTTTCAATACAAAACACCATAAAAAAAAAACAAAGAAAAAAAGAAAAAGTGGCTATCTACGCCCATTGGCCTTCTCTATATATACAACCGAAGCTGCTCTTCTTCATTTCAAACTCAGTTTGCAGAAGAAAAAAAACAGTCCCAAAGTGAAAAAGGAAGAAGAAAAAACTTCTTCTCTTCCTTTCTTTTTTTCTTTTTTTTTCTTCCAGTTTTCACACGTCATCAAAATGGCGGCTTCCGTCGATAACCGCCAGTACGGCAACCTAGAATCCGGTATGCTCTTCAAAGCCGGCCCAACTCACCGACCCAATTCCCCAATTCGTGCCTATAACGCCACCAACACCAACAACAATTACCACAAGATTTCCACCACGATTCACATCGAGTATTATTCCAGCAGCGACGACGAAGACGACGCCCTCGATTACGCCGCCGCGATTAAGCAGGGGAACGCGGAATTGGAGCCGTCCGTTTTGGACCACCGGGACGAAGGAACGGCTGACAACTGGATTGAGCGTAATCCTTCCATGGTTCGTCTTACCGGGAAGCACCCATTTAACGCTGAGCCGCCCTTGCCGAGACTGATGCACCATGGGTTTATTACCCCTGTGCCGCTGCACTATGTCCGGAACCACGGTCCGGTTCCGAAAGGGTCGTGGGAGGATTGGACGGTGGAGGTTTGCGGGTTGGTGAAACGGCCCATGAAGTTTTCGATGGAACAGTTGGTGAAGGAGTTCCCGGCGAAGGAGTTTCCGGTGACTCTGGTTTGCGCCGGCAATCGGAGGAAGGAACAGAACATGACGAAACAGAGCATCGGGTTCAATTGGGGCGCCGCCGCCATCTCGACGTCGATCTGGAAGGGAGTCCCGTTGCGTGCGATACTGAAACGGTGTGGGATTTACAGCCGTAAAAATGGCGCACTAAATGTTTGTTTTGAGGGCGCTGAGGACTTGCCCGGCGGCGGCGGGTCTAAGTACGGGACTTCTATTAGGAAGGAGTTGGCGATGGATAAATCTAGGGATATCATACTGGCTTACATGCAGAATGGAGCTCTTTTGTCGCCGGATCATGGTTTTCCGGTGAGGATGATCATTCCGGGATTCATCGGAGGGAGGATGGTGAAATGGTTGAAAAGGATCATTGTCACCACTAAAGAATCTGACAATTATTATCACTACAAGGACAACAGGGTGCTTCCTTCTCATGTTGATGCTGAACTCGCCAATTCTGAAGGTAAATAAGTTTATCTGTTTTAACGTGTCGAAATTTGATAGTGTACGATAAAATGATGAAATGCCGGATTTTCTTTTTGCAAATTCGACGTGATAAAAATGGTTTTAGATCTTTTTACGTACGCCACAGGTTTTGCCTTTTAGTTTTGTTTGAAAAAAACATCCAACTTTCCTTGTGAAGGGCATACAAAACAAAAAGAGAGGTATTTTTCAGTCATAGATTCATGATTCTCATTGGTCTAAATTGACTAATGGAAAGTATCTTAAAGGAGAATGGTCCAGATTCCCGAGTCGCATTTGTAGACTATAGTAAATTGTAGGGACTGTGTGCTCTTGATGGGGGTTGGTTAATCAATTCAGTGGACTATGACTAAAATGAATTGATGTTGTATCGTATTTTCTTCCGTCTCAAAAAAATAATTTACTGTTTCTAACAGTCTTAAAATGTTAGGTTTGTAGAGGACTAATATCGAGTAATTGTTGATGGTGATTTAATATTATGCAGCATGGTGGTACAAGCCGGAATACATCATCAATGAGCTAAATATAAACTCAGTAATAACCACACCATGCCACGAGGAGATTCTGCCTATCACTTCGTGGACTACCCAGAGGCCTTACACGTTACGGGGCTACGCTTATTCCGGTAAAAATTGTTTTTTTCCATCATTTTTTAATAATTTCAATCATATTTTTATTTTTTTCTTTCTGGTTAGTTAGTTCTCTCTCTGTCTCAAAATTATTGTTCAGTTTGAAATTTCACTTTTAGTACAATTTGAACTAAAAATGAAAACCCAAACTGATATGAGACGGAAGAAGTATTTTGGATGAGAAAAAGTTACACATGGAAATCACAAAATTTAGGGTTTTGACAATAGAACGAAGATCTAAGGAATAATATGGGTGTTTTTTACATGATATCGTAATTAGTTAATGATATATGAATCACTGTTACATAGAACTGTAAAATCGAATCATGATATGATATTTACCTCTGATAAAAATAATAATTCAAAGTACTATGAGAGAAACGAGTCTCTATCTCGAGATTGGAAGTGGACATAATTAAAACTCTGTGAATGATAAACAAACACTAATGGAGCTGATTTAAGTAATTAAAACCAACCAATAAAGAGCGGTTTTAGATTCTGTTGAAGATTCCACTGCCGCCAGATTCAATCATACAATGAACCCAAAAGGAATTTAAATTCCAAACCCATTGGTTTAGTATTCTTTATCTTTTTCCCCAAACCCATTGGATTCATATTATATTTTTGATTAGAACTAACCAAGCTAGCTAGTTGCACTCACGTCATTGCAATTAAACTAGCTTTTGTTTAACAATTAATTATGCCCACTTTAGTACTTTTTGACTAGATCCTTTCAAAATGACGCTTAATACAATCAAATGGTCACGAAAATATGTGACGTTTCGACTTCCAGTTTTGGCGCAAGTGGCCAATCAGCTGGAAGTCCTATTAACAACCCCTAAGTTGCTGGAACTCAAAATGGGAAAAAAAAAGTATTGAATGTGCTCCCTTCATGTGTGGAGATATTTTTAATAATTGTTATAATTAAATCATTGATGATTTCCTAGACTTTTGGCCATAGTTATTTGACTCTTCAGAATGAGGAGAAGTCCTAATGTCCCTATCTCACCTGTCCTTTATTTACCTCAAACAAATTGCTAGAGCCACACCAGCTTGCATTTATTTATTTTTTTTTTGTTTTTCTACAAAATAATTATTCCTCAACCGTAGAGTACTTTTACTACCACGATCAAGAATCATGACAATTATTTTGAGGGGTTTTCAGAATTATTTGTGACATACACTCTTTTCGTCCTAAAATAACAGTTTCCGAAAAATGGAGTATCTGTTAGAAACCTAGAAATTCATATAGGACCTGAAATTTGATGTACAAAATTTCTGTGTTGAATCATGGATGCATAGTGTTTGTACGAAAACAGCCCGACAGGTTGTGAAAAGGCACCTATTATTTTTTTTAGGTTGTTATTTATTTATATAAATAGTGAAATGGCCAGAGTGCAAAGCTATGTATGGTCCATATGTACTTCGATTTGGTATGTAGCGTTTTGTTTCAAACGTTTAGCACACACCTAGTTTTTTCCTAGAAATGTGTGACTTTTCTTATCATGTTCTTCATGTCACCAATGAGAATATTCCTTGTGGAAACCTACAGAAAATGATGCCAACCCTAATTTTCTTTTGAAGTAATTAAATATTATAAAAATAAAAGTCAAGAAATTTTGTTGGGTTTTTCCTACATGCATATGATTGACCTTTGAAATTGTCAGAAAATTTTATTTTTATTATTTATTATATTTATGAATTATGACACAATTTTTAACATTTATTATATGACCGAAAATGTATAGGTGGAGGGAAGAAGGTGACACGTGTCGAAGTGACAATGGACGGAGGCGAGACATGGCTGGTGGCCAACTTGGACCATCCTGAAAAGCCCAACAAGTATAGGAAGTATTGGTGCTGGTGTTTCTGGTCTTTGGAGGTTGAAGTTTTGGACCTTCTTGGGGCCAAAGAGATTGCAGTCCGGGCCTGGGATGAGACTCATAATACCCAACCTGAGAAGCTCAACTGGAATGTCATGGTACATACCTAATAACACCCTTCCATCCATTTTTATTATTTATACTTTCTTTTATGTACCGTGAATAATCGTGTTTGTTGAATTAAAACAGTAAAATCGCATTCTGACGTTGTGTCTTTGTTGCATTGATTCAGGGAATGATGAACAATTGCTGGTTCAGAGTGAAAACCAATGTGTGCAAGCCACACAAAGGGGAGATTGGAATTGTATTTGAGCATCCAACTCAGCCAGGGAACCAATCAGGTGGATGGATGGCTAAAGAGAAGCATGTGGAGAAATCTTCAGAGACAACAAGCACTCTCAAGAAGAGTGTCTCATCACCCTTCATGAACACAGCTTCCAAGATGTTCTCCATGTCTGAGGTTAAGAAACACAATTCGGCTGATTCTGCTTGGATTGTTGTTCATGGCCATGTTTATGAGGTCACAAGATTCCTCAAAGATCATCCTGGAGGCAGTGACAGTATTTTGATCAATGCCGGCACGGATTGTACCGAAGAGTTTGATGCCATTCACTCTGATAAGGCCAGGAAACTCTTGGAAGATTTCAGGATTGGTGAGTTGATCACCAGTGGATACACCTCAGATTCGTCGACATCATCTCCAAATAACTCAGTGCATGGAGCTTCAGCTGCTTTTGCTCAATTGGCTCCAATTACTGAAGTTGCGCCAACAGTAAATGTGGCACTCATTCCAGGTCAGAAGATACCATGCAAACTTGTCTCCAAGACATCACTTTCACATGATGTGAGAAAGTTCCGATTCGCCCTGCCCTCGGAAGATCAGGTCTTGGGATTACCTGTTGGGAAGCACATCTTCATCTGTGCTAACATTGATGAGAAGCTATGTATGCGAGCGTATACCCCGACCAGCGGTATTCAAGAAGTAGGCTGCTTTGAGCTGGTGGTGAAGGTATACTTCAAAGGGGTGCATCCCAGGTTTCCAAATGGAGGGCTAATGTCACAATATTTGGATTCACTTCCTCTGGGATCCACTCTTGAAGTGAAGGGTCCATTAGGCCACATTGAGTACAAAGGTAAAGGGAACTTCTTGGTGCATGGCAAACAAAAGTTTGCCAAGAAATTGGCCATGATCTCTGGCGGGACAGGAATCACGCCGGTTTACCAAGTTATGCAGGCAATAATGAAGGATCCAGAGGATGAAACAGAGATGCACATTGTCTACGCGAATCGCACAGAGGATGATATATTGCTCAAAGATGAACTTGATGAATTGGCTGAGAAGTACCCTGAAAGAGTAAAAGTCTGGTATGTAATTGAGAAAGCAATGCAGGAAGGATGGAAATACAGCTTGGGATTCATCACTGAGGATATCTTGAGGGAGCACATTCCTGCGGGTTCAGATACAACGCTTGCCCTGGCTTGCGGTCCACCTCCTATGATTCAGTTTGCAGTAAATCCTAACTTGGAGAAATTAGGTTATGATATCAAGGACTCATTATTGGTGTTTTGAGTTAGGGAAGGAGGACGAACAATAAGGGAAATAAAATCTTGTAAATTCTTGAGGCAGTTCTTATAGCATGGTCTCTCTCCATATGTATTAATTCTCTATGTAATCTTTCACCATTTAGTGATTTCTTCATATTTGTCTTTCGAATTATGCTCTATAGCTTCCTTGTAAATAACCCTCATTGTAATACTTGAAAGGCATTTCCCCCCCAAAAAAAAAATTGTGGCCACGTTTTATTTCAAAGTTCGCAATAGTGCTTCAAAAACTACCCATTTAGAGTTGTGCCACTCAATTTATCGGCTCCAAGTTAATTAAACAAGATCATATGTCCATCAGTTAGGGAAAATGTTAAGGTTGAAACTTGAAAATATGTGTGATTGAACTACTGAACGGTTTCGAATGTTGTGGCATCTCTTTCTACTTGCTTTGGAGTGATTATTTTATAGGCAAGATAGCTTGCAAATGGAATTTTACCAAAGTAAAAAAGACAGAGACAGCTGCTACTATTTTTCTGATACACTACTAGAGATCGACGTTGTAGCTTTAGAACCAAAATGAGCAACATATATAAGAGCAAACAGTCGGAAACAGTTTGATTTTCACATCAAATTTCTTGACTGAAATCATGAACATGAGGATCAATCAACTGTCACCACCACTTGAAAAAAAAGAAATCATTAATTCTCGAAAAGTTTTGAGAGTAGTCAACCAAAAAGATGAATTTCCAGCAACCTAATTTAGCGGATACATGCTTTTACATGATTTGCTCAGGTATGCCAGCTGAGTTGGTATGGAGATGCCGATCAAGAGGAAAGTAACAGCTTTATAAATGAATGGTCCAAGAGCTGAGCAGGCGTCGGCCGGGCATCTAGGTTAACTTGTAGATAGTGGAGAATAAAGTCGTTTGCACTGCAAGAGAGAGTCTCATGGTAGATCACCATTTCCCATCCTGAACAGGGCAGCCATCTGCTCATTTCCCGTTGCACCATGGAGTTCGTATATGCCAATTGCATATATAGAAACAAAAAAACTGCACCAATTTTGTACTTTTCACCTCAAAAAATCTGACTAGAGTTTAACCTCTTTGAAATTCGATATCACTGGGATGACATCAAACCATAGTACAATAACCAAAAGGTGATGAACTAAACACATTAGGTAGCCAAAGCGTATCACCCCACTTAATTTTTAGTACTATGAAGAAACAATTGTCACAGGTGAGCGAAGAGACAAGTCTAAATATTGAAATATATGCATTTCTATTATATACACATTAATCTTGCTTGCATATGACTAGAATGACAACACACAATATAAAAACTCATTTGATGCCGTGTTCTCTGAACCAAAAATACAAACTACCGTGGATCCTAAGAATGCATCAAAGCTAAACCAATTTAAGATTCACCCCAAGGAATATATGAAACCAAGCTTAGTAAGTCAGTTAAAAAATTGGTATTTGGAATATAAAACATAATGAAAGGTGACAAGCCGCCTGGTTCTCAGTTTGAGTATGGAAAGTGACGAGTCAACATCTCTAACACAGTGCAACCAAGGCTCCATATGTCCTTATTCTTGCTATTAACAACCTGCATCAGAAAGAACTAATCATCAGAATAATAATGCCAGCTGAAAAATTGAAATCCGCAAGCACGTACGATTTGGGCCCATGATTCCTTAGAACTGAACGTGAAAGTTACTTCCATTGGTTGACATTTGCAGCCTGTGAGGTGTCAAGGATCCACACTGCACCAAACATTTGTTTAATACTAGATTCTGGACCATACAACCCCACGAATTTGGACTTGGGCCAAAACAATCTACACGATCAAAATATAGCTTTGGCATGTGTCACATTTAGATTTTTTTTTTATTATTAATTGACTATTAATCTTTATCATATTATTACGTTCTCTCCCCGATTCAAGATAAGTTGTATCTACGCAACTCAATAATAATATTGTCTCTATTTTCTACTCTTTCTAAACCTAATTTATAATTCCCGACCGTCCTAAAGTACCATGCAGATTGTGAGTTTGTCAACTGATGCCGACTGTCGATTTGTTTGGTATTCACAATTAAATAAATTTCTTGGAAGAAAGTAAAATTTATCGAAACTTCAAGTAGAAGAAAATTGGTATTAGGAATAAAAATAAAAAATAGAGAAGAAGTAAAGGAATGAAGGAACTACATTTCTGTATTTTTCCTTAATGAATCAAGTACATCATCGTCCCTTTTATAGGCCTAATTTATATATTTGATAAACATAAATAAACTAACTAAGTTTATTTAAGTAATAAAGATAAGAGTGATCTACTCTAAGACGTCTTGTCAATGATTATCTCTCTTGTGTTGTATCTTTTAACATTCCCTCGCAAATTAAGCCGGAGTTGAAGGACCGCGGGTGCAGTTTGTTGTAGAACGGAATCCACACCCTTTAGAGTAAAGTCATTGTATTTCTTGAGGGCTGAATCTGAGACGGCTGTGAAAATCTCTTATTATGGACCAAAACTTGTGAGGAGCCGGTAAGACTGTCAGACAATCTTTCGAAAGTTGGAATGTGATCTCCAATGAACATGTTGTCATCTTTATGGAGATATGTGAGTTGAGAATTTTTTTTTTAATTTAAACAAAAAAAACTTCTTTTCTTTAGAATTCTGCATTTTTGAGTGATTCTCAAAGGCTATGTTGTGTCAAAACTAATGACAAGTCCAATAAATTTTTCAGACTTTTGTTATGATTGAATTTCTTGGATGGATTAAAAAGAAAATTTTTTTGTTGGTGGTGATTGAAATTTGAGGATTGAGTTGTAAGTTCAATATGTTCTTGACTGTCTGCGAGCCAAGTACTTGTTCTCTCCACAATGGTTAATTGGTTGGAGAAAGTTTGAGAGTGAAAATTTACGGAAGCTATAGTTGATGGACAAAGATGAAGAAGCCATAGAGTATTATTCAAAGAAAAAAAAAATATTCAGACGCAGGACAGAACCTGCTCTGATACCAAGAAGAAAATTGGTATTAGGAATAAAAATAAAAAAATAGAGAAGAAGTAAAGGAATGAAGAAAGTTTCTGTATTTTTCTTTAATGAATCAAGTACATCATCTCCCTTTTATAGGCCTAATTTATATATTTGATAAATATGAGTAAACAAACTAATTTTATTTAAATAATAAAGATAAGACTGGTCTACTCTAAGACTTCTTGTCAATTACTATCTCTCTTGTGCTCTATCTTTTAATACAAGCTAACCATATGATGGTGGCATCTTCGAAAAGCATAACTCGTTCTTGTTGTAAAAATCAAGAATTATGAAATTGATGAAAAAGATGCCTATCGACCTACACATTGACTTTTCTAAATCGATGCTCCGATCGACAGAGTATACGTCGACTTTGATGTCAAGTTCGTGGAGCCAACAAACTGGCCAACGAAACAATCGTCGACTATTATGCTGATGTCATCCTCCCGATGCAGTAGCTGACAGAGGCAATTTTCTTCCCAAATTTGGAAAACAAGGCTGAGAAGAGGAGAAGATTCAAACTTCCAACCAAATTCAACCGAGAAAGAATTCAGCCAATAACTGCCCTTCACCAAAATGGAAAATTTACAATTCAGTACCTATATCATTTTTTATCTTATGCTTAGTTAACTCTAATACTTTTATAATTTTTCATATAGGCTCTTCTTACATTGAAGCATAGGCAATCTAAGATTGGATTGTCCAGAGATACATCTCATCCAAGGGGCAACCATCCCTCGAGGTCCATACAACTACTCAAAGAGTTCAAGAAGAAGTATCTCGCAGCTCGAGGCTTGACAAGCCATCGTCACACTAGTCAAATATAAAATTACCTACTTAATACTAGTATAGCGGAAAATAGGATCGATCCCACAGAGAAGGTTACCAAGTACCGGTTAAAACTATTTTTATTATTATTTAGACAACTAATAATAATGATTTAAAATTAAACTAAACCTAAAAATAATAATTAAAATATAATTAATTAAATAACAGAAAACCTACCGACTACTCAGCTTAATTCAATCTATAGATATATGACTTTGGAATTTCATTAATCTCACAACGATTCACTTGTTTAAGAACTTTTTATTGTCGTGATATAATTCTCTTACTCAAACTAACCCTATGACTACTGTCATGACTATAGAATTTTATTAGAGTAAATTAAGAACCCTAGAATTTATAGCTGCAAAGACGGTGTTTCTACTGCCGTGGCCCACTATCTAAGTCTAATATTCCTATGAACTAGTACTAACCTTCAACCATCTTTCCTTCAATTAAACATCTTAAAGCATGCAAGTGGTGATCCAAATACTCACATGAAATAAAAATATTAAATATCAACTAATGAAAAAGTCACAATCATAAATTAAATTCAATAAAATAGTACGGCGGCTTATCTTAAACCCTAGATTAAAAATATTTAGCTACACATCATCTCAAAATAAAAATAATTAAAACAATGGACTAAAGGAACCCGAAAGGAAAAACTCCGCTGTCGAAATCCAGCCTTGAAGCTCGATCCGACGCTTTAATGTTGCCCCACTCCCTTATGCTTGCGTACAGTGATGGTGTATGTATGGTGTGGGTTCGTGAGAGACAGAAGGGTGATGGAGGCGTGGTAATGGAGTGATGGGGGAGACGGATTGGATGGTAGAGAGGTGCGTGGAGGTCCCTCCATAAATAAATACATATAATGTATTTATATAGCCTCTCAATTCATGCCCGTAAATCAGCATAAAAAACCCTACAGAAGCTGCATTAACCGATTCTTTCACGTGAGCTGTCCATAATAGCTTCGGAAATTGTAGTTTATTCCTTAAATTTTTCAAGATATATAATTTGACCCTTGAAATTCTTTAACTTTTCAATTCAGTCCTCTTTCTCATGTGCCCATGCGGAATTCAAGTTTTTGGCCAGATTTTCTTCTTCATCAATCATTCAAATCTTCAGTCTTGCTCCATAAGTTGCTCTTTATTGCGATTTCAGTCCAAAACTTCAACAATTTTTTCGTTTGAGTATAATTCCTACAAATAAAGATAAAATCATATAAAGCGAATCACGCTTGACTACAATGTATATTCCAGAAGAAGTATCTCGCAGAGTTCAAGAAGAAGTATCTCGCAGCTCGAGGCTTGACAAGCCGTCGTCACACTAGTCAAATATAAAATTACCTACTTAACACTAGTATAGCGAAAAATAGGATCGATCCCACAGAGAAGGTTACCAAGTACCGGTTAAAACTATTTCTTATTATTATTTAGACAACTAATAATAATAATTTCAAATTAAACTAAACCTAAAA